TAGGTGGAAGAGGAGTGGGACAATGAGCAGAGATACGCTACCTATTTACTTCACTAGCCACTAGCAGTGCAGATCACTTTCTATTACACTTGACCAAGCATTGAGGAAGTTCTTCTCCACTGCTTTTCTCTTTCACTCCCACATTCAAGTTGAGGGTTCAGATTTTTCCTTCTTGCTTGCATGAAAGCTCAAAACATTGGACAAGAAGGTTTTTAAGTCACAGAAAAAAAAACTTTTCTCCAAGCCCACATGCACAGAAATGCTAATCTTACTCCTACGGTGCTGATGGCCATACATGATAACATACATGCGTGCATCAGGGGAACCAGAAAGCATTTTCACAATAAGATTAAAACAAGTGATCACAAACATTTTCCTGGAATAAAAAGCTTCTCACATTACAACTCACAAGCACGATCAATTCATCTGCAGCTACCATCTGACTAATTGCTTCCAACTGGTTTTGTGGGAGGTTTCACTCTGAAACTATCCAAATCCAAATGTCAGTCAAACCATGCAAAAAAAGGTGAGTCCCGGTATTGCTTGCAAAACGAAAGAGCTAAATGTGAACTATACATACTATTTACTTTAAGAAATACAACACTTTTTGCTTCATTTCTACACTTTCCCTCCCACCTAAATTCATCTCTCATTTTATATTCAAACAGATTCAAGATTAGATGGTTTCGAAGAGCCATCCAACTAACTCAAAAGGGAAATTTCAAACATCAGGAAGCATCATGTTATTCCTATATTATTACAAAACAGGAACTAGTAATCTGGAAAACTTGCACAAACATCAAAGACATTAGGGAAAGAACCAGGAACGTGCTTTGGACTACAGTTCCCCACCAAAGATTTGAGCTTGTACTGTTCTCCCTGCCTCGTTTACACATTTGGGGAATGCCTCCCAGCTCTGTTATGTTAAATACTTGGCACTGTGGTTGAAAAAAAAAAAAAAATCAAAATCCAAAAAATCAAAATCCAACAAGGTCCAGACTACCCTCACCACACACAAGCCAGATTTCATACTGCCAGGTCTGCCCTCTCTGAATATGTTCTGCCTTCTGTCCCAAAAAAGCAGACACCAAATGCCAAATAAGGATTTTAACCTTCAAGATATTAAGCCATGGCTATCATTTTACCTTCTTACTCTTCTTTCCTGCAAATCTATCTCATTTTGTTTAGAGATTCCTTTGAAAAAGCTAATGTTTCCACACCGCCTTTCAATTAGAAAAACAGTCCTGCGACTAAGTCAAGTCTCCGAGGAAATCCTGTAACAACAAACCACAATTAGAAGGAAAGAAGCCGGGAAATTTTGCACGGCAACACATTTTGTGTTTAATCTTCCAAGGAATTCGGCTAAGGCAATCAGATTTTTTTCTTCGTTTCTAAAGATTGTTTCAGACATCATCTGTAATAAATTGAAATATCTTCCTTCCTTCTCCGAACTGATGGCTGCCGGGGAATGAAGCCAATGCATCTCCACACAAAGCCACATGCTTCTCCATACTGCAAACGCCATCCATCTCCGTCACCCCTCCAGTCATTTTTCTTCTTATCTGACCAGCTACACTTCTCATCAGCATCAACTGTCAATTTGTACAATCAAACTCAAGCTGTATTACTTCAAAGCTTATGAATCCCTTATGCTTCCTTACAGTCTCTGTGAGGCATGAAAGTGAGATTTGTCTGGACAAACAACATGTTTGCCATGTTAGCACAGTTTGGCTCGAGATAGCAGCTCATCTTTTCACTTCCAGTCCTGTATTTTAAAGAAAACGTCTTAATGCAACTGGCAGAGTCTCACAAACGCAGCAGTAGCAACAACTAAGATATAGTTTTCCTTTATGTTGAGCCACATAAATGATACTTAATCTGGGTACTTATTTTTCTTCTCAATACTGCAACTGCAATGCAAGCAGGGGGAGACGTGTCCTCGAAGGGTGACAGCTTGTGATTTTGTTCCTCTACGTGTATATTCACAACAAGAGAGACAAAGGGCAACCTCACTAGAAATTTAATCTTATTATGACCCATTTTCATCCCTGCTTGATAGCACGGGACAGAAACCACACAGTCACCGGAGCTGTGCCCACTGCAGGGACATAGGCAGCAAAGAAAGCATGGGTCTCACCGGGAGCAGTGTGAGCAATGCTGGATGAGCCGCCCCAACGCGGTGAGGACTCGCTATTCTTCTGCATCCTGAGTTGCTGAAGTGCTCGAGATTACCTGAGGTATTTTTATCTCTGTCTGGGGGAGTTATCACAGAATTACAGATCACATTCAAGAATAAAATATGGTGCAGTCTGATTGGCATAAAAGCCCAACAGACTGTTTGGGGAATAGTTTGTTCTCCTAATGTTGACATTATATCATTTGTTTTTGGCAGCTCAACACCACCGACAAATTTTATCTTATTCGAATTGTCATGAAAAGCTTAATAACTCTCTATTTGGCATATCTTTTAAAAGAAAAAGAAAATAGATACATTATTTGTAAAGCAACATATGTCTGATGACTTTGATCTGCGCTGATGCAATGCCCTTCGAGGATAAAAGCAGAGCTTTTTTAGAGGAGGAGTCATGTGAATATACACTTTCTAAGCAGCCTTTTCAAAATATATTTCTACTCAATTAGCACTTACAGCGATATCTAATTTTAGATAATAAATCACTGAACTTTGTTGTCATGCTACAATCCTCTCCAATTAGAGCAGAATTTATTTAACATGTTTCCCCAATACATTTTATGTATTTTCTCTGTCTAAAGCTGTCTGCTTCACTACATTAATACACAACAATACACAACTGGGACTGAAACCCAGGTTAGTTGTTCATCTCCAATTCCCACAGAAAAAATGAAATTACAGAGAGTGACATGGGTTAAATACGTAACAGAGTTATAACCTGACAGGACACACATTGTACATCTAGTTGCATGTCCTATGCCAAAACCTAATTATTTGATTCAATCTTAGGTATAATGGCTGTTTCAGGATTTCTGACTATTTAATCTGATTTCAACTTTTAATTGTTCATTATGCAAATGTATTTAGACCAGTTAAATGAGATTCAGGGTTAAGGGTTTTGTTTTGTGCATGTTTGTGGTTCTTTTTGTTTGTTTGTTCTACTAAGCACTGTAAAAGGATATGATAAATAACATTCCTGTGAAGGATACAATACAGCCACACATGTGTTTGGCATTCAAGTTTACACAGATGCTGACCCTTCATCTGGGTTATCCTTTGTCTTTCATTTTGATCATCTGGATCATTTTCCCCGACTGTTTATTTGAAAGCCAAAAAGCACTTTAAAAAATAAACCCTGACACAGTTCTCCACTATCTGTGGCTGTGCAGCTTATGCATGGTGCAAATGAAGTTCATTGTGAGTATGTACCAGATCAAGAAGCGCTTACAGAAGTGGCTCAGCACTTGAAAAGGAATGGAGCTCATGAGAGTTTCTGATGGTCAGAATCAGAAGACTGGTGAATCGAAACCCTTCAGAGTGATTATTTCTTTCCCAAATACAACTAGGTTCTCAATAAAATTCAAGCTTCAGTCATAAAACCCCAAATATCTAAGAGTCTAGATCCAAATCACATATACGGTAGGCCTCTCTGACCAAACCAGCTAGATGAGACTTGACAGCAATATCTAGCAGCAACATCCAGATTCTCTTTACCTAACAGCTCATAAAGGAACCAATTTATAAACGCATGCTACTTCCGCACTGTGTATTTATGCAGTTTTATGAGTGCACGTCATGCTAGCTGTTTAATAACTGGTTATAGATAAATCTGTATCTTCAGTTTGGGTTGAGGGTTTTTTTGGCTGTTGTCTGGGTATCATATTCCTCATCTCTTTGTATCTCTGTGTTTTGTTACCTGGGATACTGAAGTCAGAGAATTGAGTAGTCTTACAGGAGACCAACTATGTTGTATGATTGATTTGAGAGGGAAAGAATACATCATTTTTTGATTTTTTATGCTGACACTAAAAATGCTCCACTGATTGTTCCTTGCATTTTGCCACCTTTTTCTGAAATGCTGCCACACCATTTCCTGTGTGGCATCTCTTACACAGACATCTCCTCTGATCAACTTCAACCGCTGTTCCCAAAATTATTCTGATTGTTCAGTCAAGTACGTAGGAAATCTCTATCTTTTTGCATATACAGCGAAGCTGTAAGTTCCAAAGTACGTGTTCAAGAAAGTATGTTTATTTCACCCATCAATATAACTGATTCAGCTGAAAACATTAGGTGCCATGTCAATTTTCCCTATATTTCACCCCAGGAGAAATAATTATATTTCTAAATGGCGTCTTCCTCATAGTCAAACGCTTTGCATTCTATAAACCACATGTTCACGGGTGTGTAACAAGTGACACAGAAGTCTGCATCCTCTACAGCTGCCTTACAGCTATTTCCAAGATTTCTTTTGAGCTGACATTGTTTTACCATACCCAGCAATATGCTGTAATGGATTTTGATTGCATTTGCCTTTCAGTATACATTGTGAACATGCTACCTGATCATATTCTTTTTTTTTTTTTTACTTAATAATACTTTGGAAGTTCTGAACTTCTAGTCATTATATACACCAGTTGTCTGGGGGGAGAAACCCTCGCTATTCAGTTCCTATTTTCGCAGCCATCACAGAGCACTTAGGTCTTAGTTGAATAAACCAAATGCGTCCTTTTCCAGGTGAAAATTCATCAAATTTATATTTGGGAAATCACAACACTTGCAGTACTTTTTTCCATTACAGTTTCTTCTGCTGCATTGTTTGCATTTCCGCTTCTTTCACAAGAATGTTCACAGCCAGCCAGTTCATCTGGATCAGTTGTGGAGTTCCTCTTTTTGTGCCATTACTTTTTCCATCAGCTCTTCCACTGAACTTTCATTTCATCAGGATCAATAGACTCAGTTTACTGCAATGCAAGACTTCCCTGCCATCACAATGTCATTTTGGTCACATTTGGTGGCTCAAACATTCAGTTTCATTCACTGAAACTCAAAATCGCTTAGCAGGTAAGATATGAATACAAATTATTATTCATAATATATCATTAAAAAGAAAATAGAGTTCTTAAAAGGAAAGAGTTGGTAGCTGTGCCCTACAGTGAGAAAATGGATTAATCTCTTGCATTACACTAAGCATCACAGATCGCTCTTACACAGTAGCTTTGAGTTTATTTGACCAAATCTAATCATGACTGATGCTACTACCTCAAAAGCAGTGAAATTCAAATATGAAAGTTGAAGCCGTTATTATTCTGCTCTTTACACGGACTCTCTGCATCGCTAAAATGATACAGCAGAATTTTCCAAGAAGCCAATCTGATTATAGTATAAATTTCTCAAGAAACTCAAACCTAATCATGAAAAAGAAATGGCACTGGAGAAAAATCAACATATTAGAGTCATCTGTAACTACAGTGTAACTGAAAAAATTCAGCCTTCACTTGCACAGGTTTTTTTATTATTATTTTTGCAACTGTTCCTTCTGTGGAACAATCAATAACATAATGCGCTTAGTAAATCATTGACAGTTAAAAATCTAATTGGAAATCCCACCTCACTCACAGCAAAAAAGAACAGCTAACATGCACAATGCCTACTAAAAATCAATTGCCTGAAAACTAATAGGGATCTATTTAGTTACTGGAACGGTTTTGCATTGATTTCTTCCCTTATCTTTTGTATGTGAGAGTGTGAGCAGAAGTACATGGAAGGCACAGCTGCATATTCAAAATTGTTACTACTTCTATTACCTAGGAAACACACTGATCACTTTTTTGTATGCTTGTTAAACGAAAGTAAAACTGAATTCTAGCCCTGCAGATGCATAGGCTTAGGGTGGTTTGTGGAAGGAATGTGTTAGCAAGAAAAACAAATCTTCACTTCCCCCCCCCCAAAAAAAAAAAAGCCCTGGCTTCTTTGACACGAGCTTGCATTCAAGCTGATGCTCGCTGGCCTACGGTACAAAGCCATCCTCACTTCGCCATGGCGTGGCTGCATTTTCCAGCTGCACTGCTGCAGGTGGATGAGCACACAGGTCTGAGCGGGCACAGAGCTGGATTTAACCTTGCGCTTGTAATGGCCACACACTAACATTCCCCTCTGCCCCCGCACGGTAGCAGTCCACGTGCAGAAATGATGAGCTGGTTAACTCGGTGTCACAATTTCAACCTTTACCGACGTAGGCCACCAGATCTGGTGTTCATTGCACAAACATGACGTTTGTGCTTTCCCCAGCAATTCTATTTCAAGTGACCAAGAGATGGAGTACAACAGCAAAATAGAAAAAAAAACAAAACACACATCAACATGTGATGTTAAGGCTACTCTAATTTATCATGAGGCAAGGTGACGTGTTTAACCAAAACTGGAAAAAGCATTCTCTCAACAGCCAACAAATGAGTCAATCACACAATGAATCACATTTTTGTGAAAAGGATTAAGAGAAAACTGTCCTATTTAATGAACTGCAAAGTCTTCTGACTCAACACTGCTGTTATGACCCAGCCAACTTGCATTCCAGAATAAAGACCATGAAAGAGGAAGGGAGGACCAGAAACTATAAACTCCATAGTACTACAGTCCCTTAGGATGCAAAATTACCTTGTCCCTATTACCATGAACAGAAGTCTTGGCTGAAAAACATGATAGAAACCATGACTGAATGAGGCACGGTTAAGTGATTACAAATCATACTGAATTTGATTTTAGTGGAGTGTCACGAAAATAGAAATTAAGTATATATAGCTCCTAGTACCTACAGTCAGATTTAGTTTTAAATAATGCCTGCAGCAACAGAAAAGAGTAAGATAACAAGTGTCATTTCATCGAAAACGTATCTCAAAATTTTGGAAGTTTTAAGCAGCTGCATCTCTCAATGTATTGAGAAATCATTTATGCCAAGTGAAAAGAAAACCACACCAAAAGCCGCTGGGTTTGCTGCTCACACTGTATTTGAGTCAGAGATGATATACTTCATGCTCCAGATAGTAGATCACTCTGAGATGGCAGTGTTTTAATTTGGAGTCAAGTTAGGACAACAAATCACAGTAGGGCTGTGCAGAACAAGGCTGAAAGGAATCCAAACCTGAAACCCTCTGCAAATACTTCCCCAGGCTCCCTTTTGGGGCAGCTGTTCACTGATACCATCTTCCCAAGCCCCCCCCCAGCAGCCAGCTGCCACCTGGAACCCTGCTGTTTCTGTAGCAGACATCAGCCAGCCGCGTCACTGTCTTCATACACCCAGATCTACCAGGAGACAGAAAAATCGCAGAGCTTATTGTTCAGCAGCACCACAAGAGTTTCCCATGGAGCCCTTGCAAAACATGGACTATAAAGCTGCAGATCAGGTCAGCAAGAAAAAACTTTATCCAACTTCAGCACAATTCACGGTCACTGTATTTGAAGATTTTTGAACTGCGTGATTTTAATAGCAGCTCACTGGTATAGCAGCACTACACCGGGTTTCCGTGGGCTCAAGTCTCAAATCTGTTAATTGAATTTCACTCCCCCCAACCCCGCATGCTGCCTCCACTTGGCTAGAGGGCTTCTCCTTGTCTTAGGAGGTGTTAGAAACCAGCCAGCTAAACCAGGCATAACACTTGCCAAAGCTTTCAGACATGCTAGGGCAGCAAACTGCAAAAACAATGACAGATAAACTGTACTCTAACCACGAACCCACCACCAGCTCCATTTCCAGGGAAGCAGAAGCCTGGAAACACGAAGCCTCCCTTGTGCATTCACTGATTGAAGTCCTACTGGAACATGGCACTGTTAGATACCAGGGAAATAAAAGCTGTAGTGCTGGAGAGCTGTGTATCTAACCCACCCCTGTGGGCATAATCCCTCAACTATGGATGAGGAGCTCACCACTTCTAAATCCTTTTCCCGTTCTACCTCAGCTCTCACAGGGGACCTATCAAGGTGGTAGCTCATGAATACACACACAGTGGCAAGCAAACAGCAGCTTCTCCACCCAAAATGTGGATTCTGGGCTCATGCAGCAGCTGCAAAAACATGTGCTCGCCAGCCCCACTGATGTCCTGCCCTTGGCAAACACTCAAACACAGGGAGCCACTGGGAAGTAGGGGAAAGCCACAGGAGATGCAACGGAATGGGGATTTTTTTTTTTTTTTTTTTTAAGTAAAAAAAAAGTTGGGAGGAGGAAAAATGGTCGTAAGGCAGAAGAAAGCAAAGGGCGTGAGAGTCTGGGAAAGCGGTGAGATAAGTGCAGCACACCAGGCAACAGGCTGTGAGGAAGATGCCTCGCCATCAGCACATCAAACAAGGCTCCTGCTGGAAGACAGTTGGGAGCAAATGACCTGCAAGAAAAACAAAAATAAAAATGCTGCAAGACAAAAAGAGCTCAGTCACATGTTAGGAAGCAGAAAACCTTCCCAGTCCATAGCTACTCCGGTGCTGATAACTGAGAAAGCATCTCACTAAAAGGTTTGGACGTTGTCACTGGCTGCGTAAGTAGGTTAGGCCTGAGGAGAGATGATGCATATCAAATGCAAAACGGATAAAATTAAACATTCATTGACAACAGAAAGTTGGGCTAAGCATCCAGAAATACTGAGCACTAACAAAACGCATGTCAGGCCCTAAGACAGAGACGCAGCCAAGTGAGCCTCCTACTGCTTTTAGCTTAAACGGCTGGCAACCTTTTCCCTTCAGGTCTTTCATACAGCAAAATTAGGGCTTCAGTTCCTGCCGACTGCTTTAACTGCCGTACCTGCGCCTCTCGCAATTTGCCACAGCTGGGCTGCTCCCCGCATAAAGGCAGCCTTCATCAGGCAGGGGCTGGGCACGCAACGCACCACGTCCCTGTCCCCACGGGGTCAGGGAGGAGAGGAACAGCCTCCTTCCCCCCTCAGGTAGCAGGGCATCTACATCCACACACTCCTCTTCAGCAGAGGCAAACAAACGAAAGCTTTTTTTTCCTCTTGCAGTAAGAGATGCCCCTCTGCCTTCCTAAATCCGGCCAGGGCATAGCAAAAAGAAACGTAGAGGGAAGAGCCACTTCTCTGCTGGAGAGGGAAATGCAGTGGCTTACAGCGAGTTAGAGAACAGCCAAGAAAAGAGACTAATTTGCTAAGCCGTATTCACACACTATTCAAATTTCATTCTCTCCTACGTTTATAGGACCTTGGAGTCACAAAGGAACTGTAACCTCAAATTGCATGTTTCCTGGGCATAATTGAGAGGAGAGAAAGCTGCTCTCCAGCCTCCGTATTGCAGCATTGCTTCTGCTCCCAAGCCGGGCATCGCTTACGGACACAAACCGCTTGCATTTTTGTCTGCTTCTGACCACTGTTGGGTTTGGGAGAGGTTTTTGTTAGGGTGGGGTGTTCCCCCCTGCCCTGGAACATGATTTTCTGTATCACCAGTATGCTAGACGTGGTTGCCCTGGGATTACATAGGCACAGCTGAATCTCTTCCTGCCACTACAGGAACATTCCTGTTTCAGAAGCATGACATGATTGTCACTACACTTCGGGTTAAATAAATAAATAAATAAATGTATGTATGTATGTATGTGTATATCATTCATGTAGATGATGCTTCTTCACTCAGGGGAAAGCAACCTGCTTAACCATAAAAAACAAATCTACTTTGAATGTGATTTGCAAGAGAGGATTTTTCTCTGCAGTTTTTTTAAACTGCGTGATTTAAGCTTACTTACAGTTAATCCTGTTTTCTAATTACATTGTTTCTCTCACTACAGATCAACAGTCGATTAATCAGACTATTCAGTGAAGCAGTAAGGTGTCTGACCCATTACTTCCTGTATTTGTAACGAACTTCATCTCCTTCAATGAAATAAAAATGCAATCCAATTCAAGCTATCTTTGGAATATCTGACTACCTACAGGGAGCCCATCAGGAGCTCATCCATGGGCACGGCTACCACATTTATTCTCTGTCAGCACTTTACATGTCTGGCAGGTTACTACACTCCCTTGGTGTTAAAAAAAAAAAAAGAGGCATTTCAAAAGCCTTTTTTCAAAACATAAGCTGCATTTTCATGTGACAACTTCACAGTTCCTCGGGACAACCACATACATACAGCAGGGCTGTAATCCAGAACAGCAGCAGGCTCTCCTGTGAAGCTACAAGAGACCTCCATTAGTTGTGAGAAGAGCTGTTGTCACTTACAAGAGATGTAAGCACTTGTACTTCTTGTGCATCTCATCTGCCAAGTGACCAGACAAAATCTCAGCAAGCCCACACCCAGTCGTTGGCTCGGTCTCCCAAGCACTTGCCAGTATGCAATCCCATCCCACTCTCACAAACGGAGGCAGGGTACGACTTCCAGTCTGAAAGTACTTAAAGTAGTAGAGCTGCTGGGGATTTGGGAAGTTGTTTCCCAGCTTTAGAAGAAGAACAACTGACAAACTTTATTCTAACTGTCCTTAAAGATTCCCAAAGGTGCAAACTCCATCCCTTTCCCAGGTTGTTTTTATAGATGCTGGTGGTTTTTTTGTTTGTTTGTTTTAAAAACAGATGGGTAGTTTTTCTTAGGCTATAACTTCCTAGCTTTTGCCGTTAGTCTTGTTCTTCACAGAAAGGCAAAACAGGTTGTTCCCGTTCTTTTTACTGCAGGACTCCATACAAATACAACTTCTATTTTCTTTATTCTCTTCTTCAGGCTGAACATCTCCTATACATACCTAGCAGCATCACATTTTCAAGACCTCCGGTCTCCTTCAGAATTTCTTCAAGTGTTTGTTCTCTTCCCCAGCTGGCACAGCAAGCTACGATCAGTCTTTGCCAAAGCTGAACAGAGTTTTGGAGAACTACTTTGTACCTCTGGCAGGCCTTAGCCCTGTTTATACTTTCAAGTTTTCTCTTTGTGTACCAATAGGATCTTGCTGACTCCTCATCAGCTTGTGATCTGCTCTAACCCCAAGATCCCTGCCAATCTGCTATTTGTACAGCTGATTTCTGCTATTTACTCCTGGTAGCACAACACTCATCCATGCTGAACATTATCTGACTTTTTGGATTTGTTTCTCTAACTCACCATCACTGAGTTGTACTCCTGGCTTCTGGTGTGCTCACAGCACAGCTTGAAATGGCTGCAGATTTAATAAGCATGCACTCCACTCCATCTCCCAGGTCATCACAGAAATACTCTGCAGGTTTACATGTGATTTGCCACGTTCAAAGATCAACAGGGAACAAGCTATGCTCAACCCTTGACTCTTAGTACAACCCAACTAAATCACATCTTCCAACTGTTACTGTAGGAATTGGGGTGTAGCAACCAATGTCCTTTCATGCTTATGCTATCTAGCCACATAAAGCAATACAGAAATGATGTATTGGTACAGTGCCTATAGGAAAAAAAAACACTACATGAGGTGTAGAGTCACAAAAAAGAACACATGGAATTCGGATTCCTTTTTCCCCAACAAAGGAAGACATTCAGAATAGGTTAATGATAACCCTCACTAAGCCTAAACTCCTGTGAACTTCAACATCCAAGAGCTGAGGCTGTGAACACTCAAGTGAAAAAGCCTACAGTTGCAGTGAACTAATACAACTCCATTTTTAGAGAAAACTAAATTAGTTAAAGTTGATCTTGGTTCTGGCTGACTTCTTTCCCCAAGTACTAGAGGAGTACTAACTGCATACATTATTTAAAACAGAAGAATTGAGATCCCCACCCCTCAAAAGGGGACCAGGTGTACAAGGCACAAGCACACTTAAAAAGAAATAGCCTGAGCTATTCGTTTATAAAAGCCATTTTATTCCACACCTTTGTTTGTTCCAGGGCTCCCCACTATCATCTGGCTAGCTGACTCACTGAATGTTGCCTTTAAACTCACATGGTGTCAATTAATGTATTATAGGAGCTATTGATTTGCCTTTAAAGTTCTAGTTTATGATCTCTGGCCCTCTGGGAAACAAGTGGGTATCTACATTGTGACAGCTCACATCTTCAACAGCCTGTAGCAAAGGCTCCCTTTACACTCCATGAAAGAAGACTAAGTAGGACATGGAAAACGGTATGTAAGTTCCAAATACCTGGGTTTCTAGTGTGGAATTCAACTCTCCTAAAAGCAATTTGTTCATAGCCTTTGTTTAGAGAGGCCAAAGACTGCCTTAGCAGTACTGTCGCTGCTGTTGCATACATTGAAATGACAGAAGTATTTCCCTTTGCTATCTCAAGTATTTCAGATTTTAAAATATTACATGATACCAGCTGATCTGCAGATCAGCTGAACTCCTGCGGAACACAACTTGTGTGCTAAATCCGTGCTGGAGGTGGGACTGAGGCACCCAGCCTGCTGAGGGCCCATGGCTTCCCAGTCATTGCTCGGTCCTGGGAGGATGGCAGGTGTGGTCCCTCAGCCTCCTGTGCTACCCCAAGGACTCCCAACACATACTGGGCTTCCCCATCACTTCAAGAGTCACCTCTCAGTGCCAGACCAGTTAACCAGGATGAAATAACACCCGCACACCACAGAACGGTTGTTGGGCAGTGGGAGCAACATGTATGCTAAAGCATAAAACAGTGAAATGGATCTTTAAATAATGCTCTTCGTTGCTCTTCTTCACTGACTACGCACCTGTCTGATTTGCACTTCAGCCTTCAACATGGCAGCAGCTGAATATTTCAAGTGGCAAGTAGGTTTCGGTGACCTCCATCCAACATCACAGCTTCAGCTTTGTCAGCTGAGCTTGGCAGTGTCATGCTGAAAGCATGACAGAGTCTTGTTTGGATTTTGCAGAGTTTTGTATTTTAATCTTCTAATATTTTTAGTCACCTATTGTGCCTCTTAAGTCATTGCTCACACACTCTGGTTTCTTCCAGAACTGTGAGTGTTCTGATTGGAGGCTCCTGAGAAAGTTTTAAAATACCGCATTTATTAATTGGAAGATTAATATTTTCAGAAACTTAGTACTTAACTGAAAATTAAAAAACTTAATCAAGCATCCAAAGGGATGCTATGTGAAAGGGAGAGACATCACTGCATTATCAGCACACCAGCTGAAGAAGCCTTACTGGACTGAACATCATTGAAGTCGCTTGGTTATTTTTAAAATTCTTAGAAGATACAGAGAGGGTTCTTACCCTTTCCTCCTAAATCCCATCTGCTTTGAATCCTTACAGCTTTGAAATACGCAACTATTTCTAATTAATTTTAATGATCCATGCTGAATTACTTTGCATCTAAACAAAACTACTTAATTCATTAGTGGTTTTGAATTTTATTGTTTCATCTTTGCTAATTTATAAATGTTTTTCATAAAGAGAAGGTACGGTTCATCTGGAAGGAGATTCTTCCAAGGGTGGTGTATGGCTGCATAT